CCATCTGTTCTGTCTTCTCTAAGACAGATATGTCCTGGAATTCTAAAATTGAATCCGGGACGAAGCCAAGTCTCTTGAAGAGAGACGGCAAAAGGTTTGTAATTGTTTAATAAATAAATGAGGTCACTTTTTTTACTATTAATGCTCCGGCAATTCCACTGAATCACCAGAGACTGGTTTTGTGGATGGTCTGTGTGACTGTCCATGATTTAAATAAGTTTTTGAAGAAGGGGCATCGTTGGTCGGTATTTTAATTATGTCAGATTGTGACAGGTACTGAATTATAGAAATGATGAGATCCTTGGTTATTACTTCTGACAAATCATTGTAGTTTTTAAGACAACCTGTAGAAAAGGAAGGAATATTGCTATAATCTTGAATAAGCTCTGCATGTGCTTTTTGATCATATCCCTTACTAACATTTCTGGGACGAGTTTTGGGTTTCATGAAAATTGTTTTCCTAAATGACTGAGTGGGAGTGTTAGAAGGACTTGTTACATTATAGGGGCTGGAATACTTAATATTCGGACCAGAAGGGGCCGATGAAGCAGAAGCAACAACGTCTGCATAAGATTTAGAAACTGGTGGATTGGCTTTACTGGCTTCTGAATAAGATATAGCCTTTCTAGCCATTGTTTCTTTAATTGATTTTTGCCTAGCGTACTCTGGGCACTTTTTATCTGTTGCAAAATGGGAACCAGAACATAAGATGCACACAGCATCATCTCTTTCAGTCTTGCAGCTTGTACTTGTATGGTTGTCACCACATTTGTAACACCTTGGAGTGCCTCTGCATTGCATTTTGGTGTGACCAAAACGGCAGCAATTAAAACATTGCAATGTGGGGTAAATATAAAGTTCTACGGGTAAGGAGTTATAACACATAAAGACCCTGGGAGGTAATACTTTCCCATCAAAGGTTAAAACTACGGTCTCTGTCGGAATAAACTTGGGAGTCTCACCTTCATACACCTTTCTGTTTAGTCTTCGAACCTTTAAAATGCTTCCACAGTTCTGCGGAAGCTCAATATTTTCTAAAATGTCTTTCTCGTCCCATTCACATGGAACACCTCTCACTATTCCCATGCGGGTGATAGTGAAGGCAGGAATAAATGATTTGTAATTATTAACATGAAGAGATTTGTTGTTTAAAAATGTGTTAGCATCTTGAAAAGTTTCGAATTGTAAGGACAACATGTTCCTGCCAATTTTTTTTATGCTGCCCTCTACAATGCTTTTTACACAATTTTTTTTTAGGAAAAATCCAAAATGTACAGGGTGAATTGATCCGGTTTGATTTGTTTGTAATATTTTTTGGACATGGACAACATAAGGCGCTGGGTCTGACGCCTGGTAAAGCGACCTAGCAGCGCGAGGGTTACTTGGGATATTATTGGAGTGAGCAGGTTCATTATGGTGGATTTCAGTTTTATCATTAGACTCAAGCACTTTAGGAATAACATTGTCTTTTGAATTATTAGAGGAAATTGTCTTCTTTAGATTTCTAACTGAGATTCTCTTTCTTTTAACATTTTTCTTGCTTTCCGAACAATCTGTATCTATAATGGAACCTTCCGTTTCCATTCCCGACTGATCTATTGTAACTACATGAGACACCTGGAGGGATGTCCCTCCAGGGTCTTCAGGCTCCAACATGGACACCAAGTGAAAATTCCTATCTACATATAATACAATTAAATTACTTACCAACCAGGCGAAAGAAACTAAAAATATAAATAATCAACAATAACTAGTAATATATATACACTCTACAACTTAACTGATCCTGTAATATTAAATTAATTTAATTTTCAAAAGTTTAGCCAAAAAAGGCGCCCGCCTAATTCAACACTTCCCGCGCTTTTTCATGGAATACATTACACAGACTTTTCTATTTTGAATTCACGTTTTGACAGCCACGTTACAACATTGTCAGTGTTGACAGGTGTAAAAAATAAAAGTAGATTGTCTAGCGTGCCATAGAGTTTTGTCAATAGTAATGGTCAGTGAAATTAAAACTAAAAAGATTGTTCATTCTTATTCTTCTCTTACTATAAAGGTAACTTTGGTCACAGAAAGAAAATCCTATTTGGACATAGATGATGTAGGTACGTTTTATTTCTACTACAAACATTTATATTATAAAAACATATATTCTTACCACCTTTGGTATGAAAATATGGTCGACAGCCACAGAACATTATCGCCATTTTATCGTTCGTAAGGAGCAAACTCCAATCGTGCGTCGGAGCTGACACACACACACACTTTTTTTTTTTTTTTTTTGTATATTTTCCCTTTTTCTCTCTTACCATTTGTCCCAAAAATTAAATTTCAGTATTTTACATGTTATTTTTGCACCCTTAAGTTACCTTACGACAAATTATGTTCAATTTATTAGTCAAATAAACGATAAATTGCTTTGTATTTTATGAAGCATCTCTTTTTACGTTACACATTTATTAGTTTTATTAGTTACATTAGTAGGTTAAGTTATTACTTTTGTAAGGGTTGATAAATAAGTAAATATCGTATACATAAGGTTGAGTTTGGATAATTTTAGGATCATTAGTTAGGAATATTGCTATTGCCCACTCACACGATTGGACATGTCTGAGCATAATCGTCCGTCGCGGACATCTGTAAAGTATCAACTAAATGATCCGCTGACGTGACAAATGGGACACCTTAATAGTTGGTGGATCTTTTCGTATGTCTTCAAAACTGGAGAGTTGAAACCTATTTAAGACGTAGCTAGTGCACAATACACGCGTTGAAACCGCTTCGTTAGATATATATTATTAAAGTTATAATCAATATGAAACTGATTGGAAAACGTCGGAACTTTATAATAATTTTACTGTATAAATTAACGAATTTAATTCAGGAAACTTGTGTGAAAGTAGAGCAAATAAAAGACAATATGAGGTATTAATCTGAGGAGTTATTGTATTCAAACATACACCAGGGCATGTAAAGACATTATTCTAGTAATACTTAATAGTAATAATTTTGCTGTCAGTGGTTGTCGATTAGGCTATGTTAAAGAACTTCTTTATTACATTTTGACAAAGAAAATATTGCATATAGAAAGGAACTCCAAAAAAAAAAATTGTCTAAAAGTTTTTCGCTATGTTCATGGCCCTGTATATAAGAAATTCTTTGTGAGTGAAGATGGCTGAATAGAGTTGTGTTTGCGCTGGTTTTTCCGTTACGTCACAAACAATCCTGGCGCTCTGAGACTGTACAGTGCGGAGTGTGACACTCATCATACTTTTCTTGAAAAATAGCCAACGGCAACCGTGTTTGATAAAGAATTATTACGTACTACGATAAGGCATGTAGCCTTATAAGTGATATATTTTTATTTATGCTATATGTAATAGAAATATGTAATGTCAAATCGAGAATTTTTAAAATGTTTTCCTGATTAGACCGCTAGGCCGTTTTAATACTCCATAGAAATACTCTTTTATTATTCCTTTAATGTTACTTTAATGACAATAGATAAGATGCCACAGCTGTTTCATGCGAAATCAGAATTTATACTTTAAAGATAGTAGATAATCGTCTTTATTACCGTTTCAAAGAATTCGGCATATTCACATAAGCGTCACAACGTAAAAGATACCTTTTACATTCAAATGTATGTTTATGAAACAGGTTGATTTTTTCCTAACTCCGTTTAACATGTAAATAGGCATTCGATAGAGGGTTTAGGCCTATAGGAAGGTACTTCATCTACAAGTTCCTTTGAAGTTATTTTTATACTCAGTATTGCCTACGATTTCGTTCATGTGGAAATGATAATATAAAACACACGTATTGCGAGTCCTATCTCGTCATTGCGATAACTACGAAGATAATATTTAAAATTTGCATGCTGTACTTATATTATGTAACAATACTCGTTTAATGAGCAAGAAATGTTCAACGTACCTTACGTAAAAATAATAATAAATGGAATCACAAATTTGTCTAAATATTGTGGGTTAACAGCTAGTTTTAGACAAAAATGATTGACTGCCGCCAAAGGAATACTTTGCGCGATGTGGAAATCTACAAAAAACGACAAACACATCTTTTACTATACATATATACTTAGTTAAATGTCCAAAATTCTAAATTGATTCTCATATTCTCAATACTCTGATTAAATATTAAAATATATATGAATAACAAAATTACCATATTAAAGAAAAATACATTCATGAATTTAATTAAAAATATGTTAATAACACCATCTAGTAGCAGTCACAGTAAGATGTATTTTTTTTTTAATATCATGGCAAAAGTTTAAGAGATCACAATCCTTGATAGTTCAATTAATACATTCTAGATGTCACTGTAAACCATTCATAAATATATAATTACTGTAAAGAATATATTTTCTCAATATGTCTAATTTTAATGTAAACATTAGGATTTTAACATAATTTAAAATTAGCATGTATAACATTGCAGTAGCATTACTGTCAACGGTTATTGTCACTGTCACTACTATCTGTCATACAACTTTACAAACAACTTAACGACTTAAAATGTCAAAAATAGTCAGTAAATATTTTCCCACGAATTTTATCTACCGATAACCTAAAATTTTACCTGAGTTTATATGAATTTTAAGTGAAAAGTGAGCTAATTAAAATAAATAATCTTATTTTTCATAAATTATTTAACAAAACTACTTAAGTCATCACTTAACATCAGTACCACTAATTGGAATTATGAATTAGTTTGTTTCTGTTTACCTAAGTATTTTTCGAGCACCTGACCGATAAATCTTGTAATTTCGAATAATAATTCTATTTCAGAAACGATAAGCTAAGTTGAAGTTATATCAACATTTTTTAGACGTGACTATAGTCTTAATATCTGTGTCCATACATAGCAGGTTTATTTGTCTAGTTTGCTTTAATTATTTATTCTAAATTGTATGTTATAAGTTTAAATAATTATTTTAGCACTACTAAAAATCAAAGAATTGAGAATAGTGACTCATGTTTAAATACTTCCTAAACAATTATTTAATTTGTTTAAGCAAAAGGTTAAGAATTACTTTAACTAAAACGGAATTAAACATTTTTAGTAAAACAGTAATGGCCACAACAAAAACTAAAAGTGAATTAAATGTTGAACATATACCAGCAAAAAAAATGAAAGCGGAAGAAGAAAAACTGAAAATGAGTAGGACAGTGGCTACGATGTGTGGTGCATGGAGACCTGAAGAAGAGTATGGAGGTCTCATATTTGTATTTAAAGAGCGTCAGGAAGCCTTAAGTCCTACTCCAATGAATGAGTGTGATTTTCCGGAGAACATTGAAGACTTTTGGGAGGCAACTCTTGGCGATGGCTGTGAAATTCAGGTATTTCATTTATTCATTATAATTTTTGTCATAAGGTATCATTATCAAAAATATTTAAATAACAAATATTAAAAATAACTTAAACCTTTGTTACTTTTCATAGAAAATATTATTATGGAAGAACTCATTTCTGTGTTTTGAAGAACACGCCATCTGTTATCATGTAGTCAAAACAACGAAATCTAGGGTTACCTCAACAAGTATTGCCAGTAACATACAATTGTTTGAATTGGCGCTGTATGTACTAGATAGCGCTGTTATGAGAATATCCAAATAAGCATATTGAAGTTGTAATATTATTACTATAATAATAATAATAATATGTTTTAATATGTCGTATATATTTTTTTACCAGCTGTTCATTATTGTTTGGGTGGTAAGTTATCTTGCAGGAATATAAAGCTGGCATAAAACCTCTAACTTTCAATTTTTTATTGTGAGTGTCCGAAAGCTTTTTCGCGCTATTTTATGTTTTGTTTTGCGATAGCATCTAAAAGAATTTTTAACGAAAGGTATTGTCTTGAAAAGTAACCAATCAAGCGGCCTACCTTTTTTTTCATGCATACTGACGTTTTTGCCCATTTGACCATAAAACGAAACTAAACACAATTGAAATACTTAATGATATATTACTGCTATTGCTATTGCAATGACTATTTCCAAACGTCATAAATATGTATATTATCATTAACAAGACAAGCAATATGTATTCGTATTGTATTCGGGCCCGATTTTTATATAATCATTGTCATAAGATCATATTAATATAACTTTTCACTAGTTAAGATTTGAATTTAAACGGCCCAGTTAATGCGCTTGAGAGTGAATATAATGGCGCATGATGGGACTAAATAAGATACCAAGTAATATTAATCAATACTTTATGTAGTATAGTTTAAGTACTATATCGAGTGCTGAAATCAGAGTTTTGAGTCCTGAAAACATTTAGGTACATTTGATGAGCGTGATAATATTGAATATGATATTTTAATAAGGATTAACCAAACAGGCATTTGAGTGTAATTGAGCGAAATTTAACGCATAAATTTTCATGTTGCGTTGTTGAATCAAATTCTTGCAGTGTTCTGAAATTAAAATTGCCACAGATACAAATTAACGAATTTGATGGGGCATATTTCCGTATTTTAATAACGTAATTTACAATATCGACCGTATACCAATAATAAATCTCACTGGATAATTTCTTATTTACAAGGTGACACGGGGTGTTATTACTTGGTGTAGTCTGTTAACTATTACGTAGGAATTTTGTAGTAGTTATAACAATAAACGTATTCTTATTAATCATCATTTAAAATCAATAGTTAATGTTAAGCAGGATCCATCACGTATCAAAGAAATTGCGGCTAAATAAAAATATGTTACAACTAATATATATTTAATAGCCGTTATGTTGTCTTCAAAATTAAACAACAAGTTATTAAAATGGAAGGAGACAGTAACATAGATGGCGATGAACCTAATCTTGAACAATTGTATAAGTTTTTTATAGATCGTGCCGATATATTAGAATCTAAGAAATACCGTGGCTGAGATCAACAATTTTTCTCAATAACACAATAAACAGAAAAATATTTACACATTTTTGGACAAATTTAGAACGAATCCAAGAGGTAGTTAATGAGGTAGTTCGTATTTGTCTAAGGCAAGATTATTCCGTAAATGCTTGTCCTATAAGTCCTATCCATCCATGCCAACGTCATTTACAGCTGTGGAATACTGGTAATACTCAATGGAATACCTGATCAATGAAGATGGGTTACCCTTTTGGCTGTCATCAGTATTCCATGGCATATACCCGTCGAGTTAGAAAAAGCAGTGAGTGCATTAAGTGAATTTAATTCATGATTATTTCATATTTTTGTAGTTGCTTATTTCTAACAATATTATTCCTTCAAGTAAAGCCACTCAATGGAACTGATTCAGTTGTACTAAAAGCCTGCTGTGCACTGCTGGGTTTCCTCAATAGTACGGTTTCCATGTTACCGTTCCGTCGTAATTGGGCATTTTAAAAATAACATTGTTTATTATTTCTTAGTGACATTGATGTTTAAAAATTAAAGTGTGTAGCAGTAACCCATATAGATTTTCTTGAACGTAATATTAAATGAATATTATCAATAACAATAAAATAATAAGGCTTATATTATAGATACATATACATATATATACCTATTACATTACAATTTTTGTAAATATTTCATATCAAACATGAAATGACATTATTTTTTTCAATCATTATTTTTTTTCAAAATTATGCGTTTTATGGCAATCTTTCGATATTTCCTTTGAAGGTACTACGTGCCCACACGTGCCTTCACAAAAAAACCCTGTATATATACATATATATATATATTTAACATGATACACGAACAGAATTAACTCGTTACATAATGTTATATTAAAGATGTGGAGTTATTTTGAAATTTCCATTTTCTAGTTTTATCAGCAACATAAATTCCCATAAGCCAAATACAAAGTACATTTCGAAGGAAACACTTAACACTATTTGTGTTACACATACGTTGTTAATAAATATTACCAAATTAAGAATATTATACAGGCTTTCATATAGGTATATAATCTTTAGAATACATTTAAATGTTTAAAAAAAAGAGAATATTCTTCCCCTTAAAGGCCGGCAACGCACCGACTAAAATGGGTGTCTATGATCTGCGACAGTTACCCTTTTTGGGCGTCACGTAGGATCGTTTGCCCCTTATGCTATAAAAAAATGAAACTTGGTAAATCTGACCTTTGTAACGAAATAATTAAACTTAATTAGCTTACATCTTTCGATTTCCACGTCAGACGCTAAATCCTTGTAGACCCCAAACCCAGCTTATGTCCATAATAAATGGACGGGAAGCCAGCCATTTGTGAGTGGATGAACGTGAAATTAATAAGGACGTAATTAGGATTACTTGTGTCCTATCATGAAACGAGGGTAGTGTGATGAATTTTGAAGTTTACGTTGAGTAAGGGTTACCCGACAATTTTATTCCAATTTGAGATTGTGAAAGAATATGTTTATTGTACAAATGTTTCTGATTTTGCATCTTTTTGTGAATTGACAATTGAGATAGAAAATGTAAAAGGTACATAGCGGCACAATTGCGGACAGCGGTGCCTACCCTCACCTTATTCACAGTTAAAGTCTTATTAGAATCATTTATTTTTTTTACTTACATTGAGTGTTTATCTATTATGTGACTGTAGATGTTTTTTTCATAAATTAGCCTTAACTAATTACACAAAATTTTGTCGTTTATTGGAAGAGACACCACGTTGGTATTTGCATGATGGTTAAATTTTTACAACACGGAATTGAAGGTATTTACTATTATAAGTAATTAAATATGGCAATCTCTTTTGCATATTACAATTACTAAGTAAATCTTAAAAAGAATAACAAGAAGAATAATAATAAAAACCCCACATACATACCGTGAAGGTGTGTATGTGGGGTGTGCTCATGATGCAGGTTAATTAGCGATCCTTGTGTTCATTTAAATTCAGACAGTATGAAATTGTAAAGATCAGTCTCACACGAAATAGTTTAAGGGTACGCAAGACGCGTAAATGGTGCTTCCTTTAACCGAGTGATTATTATTTGTAGTGACTATTTGCCAAAACCGAAGACAATGTCATTGTTCAACGTATGTACTATACGTGTTTTCGTGTTTTTCTGTTTTTTTGACCTAGAGGTTTAGTTTTGACATTTATAATGTTGTTTATTCAGTGGGTTTGGGTTCTTGTATCCGAGTCCGCTCTTGCTCTTGAGTCCGAGTTGACAGAAATGTTTGTTTAATTTGAACAGTCTTTCAAAAGGTACCTGTCGAAATACAAACAATACAATCAGTAATCAATTGACAAAATTAAATGAGAAAAGAAAATGCTTTTATATAATGCAATTTGTTTGCTCAGATTCAATATGGCGAAGACAATGTTTTAGCATGCGGCGACAAGATTTGATAAGAAAAATACAGTTAGAATTAAAGTGAAAAAGACATACCTTTTGAATCATATAACATGTTTTGATTAACAAAACTCTCACGAGACAATCGTTGAAATATTTCACAATACTTAACAAGAATTGAGTTAACAAAACTTTGAAACCTCTTTCTTTACAATTCACTTGCTTGCTCCCTGACAATGAAATAAATGCTAATGTCGCTTGCCAACATAAAATAATAATTTCTACCAACTACATAATACAACATAATAGGGATGGGATTGGGTTAGGTTGGGTAAAGTCAGCTGTCAGTTGATCAAACTTCAACATATAATGACCGAAAAAAGTTAAATAATACACATATAATGTATTCATAAACTTAATTTGCATCACCGAAGATTCAACAGAAAATCTGACCATAAAATCGCATTATAAAATTTTCCGAATGAAAATTTTCTATTCGTTTGACGTAAAAATCTTTTGATTGCCGAGTGATGTTCGTACTCGTTACCGCTTTGAATCGATTGAGCGCTGATTCTGAAGTTTGAAGTCCAATTCGATTATTGTGCACCAGTATTTTTAGATCTGGGCATTGTTTCATTGGTTTGTAAAAATTCAAACGATATAAAAATTGTTGTGAATAGAGTTTTGTCGAATTTAAATAACGTAGAGAATTTAATGGATTTTATAAAATTTCAACTGCAGTAGGATTACATTGATGAATCTGAGTGTAATATTGTGTCTGCGAATTGTTTCCTAAAAATCAGTTTTTTACTACTTGTCTGTTACGAGGTTTGATATCTCTGTTCTAAAAATAAGGTCAGGGTAGAAAGTTCTTCAGAGTAATTGTTAACCTATTGATTAGTTTGCATCGACTGTTAGTTACGTACGTTAATCGCTATGGAGACGTATTATTTATTTATTTATTTTTAATTATTTACACTTCGTTGCATTACAATATAAAAAATTAACATAATTAAATATAAAGCAGGGCAACTGGCGGCCTTATCGCTTTCAAGCGATCTGTTCCAGGCAACCACTGTGAGAAAAGAAAAAAAAATGTATTAAATTAGATGAGGTAGACAAGAAGTGCAAAAATACATATGACATATAGTTATTAAGAAAAATAAAAAGTAAAAAGTGCACATCAATCATAATAATTTAATTTAAGATCAGTCTCACGTCAGTAAGTAGTTAGTACGAAAGTTAGGGAAACGATGTAGACAGGCAATGTTTGTACAGAAGAAATTTAAATGAAGATAGAGAAGGAGTTAAGCGAATCGAGACGGGAAGTGAATTCCATAGTCTAACTGCAGAGACCTTAAAGGACTCGCCAAGAAAGAAGGAGTTATGAGATGGGATTTCAAGGATATAGCTATCGGAAGAGCGTAAGCTACAGTTATGGGCTCCCAAAAATTTGAAATCATTTTTGAGATAGGAAGGAGTTTTAGGGTTGAACAGGATAGAATATAAGGTATTATAATATATAGGTTAGTAAAAATATAAATTGATTAAATAAAAATATTTTATGTAGGTACGTATAAAAATAAAGAATGTTCCGTTTACAAATTACGATGAGCGTCAAACCTCTATAACACAACGTTATTTAAAATGAAGAATGTCATAGCATTTAAAAGCTTCTTCACAAGAAATATTAAACGAACTTTTCCCGACGAAAATACCAACATTCCTTAAATGCATTCTTCATATATTTTGCAAATTTCTTCATACTACAGGTACTTTAACTTCGTGAACGTGTACTTGTTATTTGAATATCAACTCTGACATGGAAGTTTTTTAAAGTGATTATCAACATTCCTATGTTGTTTCTTACATGATTGTACGTAAAATGAAGCTCATATCTTATAATAAAATAACGACTAAATAAGTCATTTAAATTAAATTTGTTTTTGTTTGTGAAATAAAAATATAATCATTGTTATATTAATGCTCTATTTACAGCTTATGGGTATCTATATATATGTAAAAAAAACAACAAGGGTAAAGGACATTCATAAAGAACAACAAATAAGTAGTCTTTATAATGTCTGAAATAAAATTAAACAAAATCTTAAGATAAACTTAAATCAATATAAGTGGGCGCCAGGAGGATTTTTGGACTATCCAACCAAACCTTTTTAAATAATAAATTGTTTTTCTATCACCATATAGATTGTACACCTTCCGTGCACGGTATTTAAGGGCGTTTCTCAACGCTATAAAAATCATTTCAAATAACTTCAAAAATTCAAAACTAAACCCTAAATAAACTAAACATACCTCTTACAATGTTCTGAACAATTTGATATATTTTCACAAAAAAAAAACTATATATAATAAAGAACATATAACAGATTAATATTATGTGCGATATAGTTTAGCATTAAGGCTATAATATAATAACTATAATTTATTATTTAACAGTAGCAGCAGGAATAGTAAAACATCATCGGCTGAGTTGTGTCATAGTGCATATTCTCTTAACTCGAAATTGAAACAGCGGTCACGGGACTAGACTGATAGGTGTTCCGATACAGGGCTGAATGGGTCATACTTACCCATAAAACGATGTGGACCATCTCCAATATGGCCGTATATCAGAGGCACTTTGGGTCGCTTTTCTATACTACAACATATTTTACAAGCACTTTAAAATTTACTACTAGACCGAGACCACGAATATGTAGTATATAGCTAATAAGTTATCCAGGCTTTGTGTATTTACGACCGATTTGTATATACGATAAATATTAAACCAGTTCCCACGGATTCCTCCTAAAACACAAAACTTATTTCCAAAAGATTAAACGGCTAATTAAACGGTAACTTTTCCATCTTGTAAGTTACACGAATTTTCTATTAGGTATTTCGTTAAAGTAAATTTGCAATCTAAGCGGAATGTTTTATCGGAAAAATTAATTAGGCAAGAGAATGACTATCGCAGATTTTCCGCTACAACGCCTTTCGTCCTTGACATGTTTAATATTCAGAGGCGACTCTTTAACGACTCTAAATAATTAGGTCAGACATTTTAATCCTAATTGCGATTAAGATATACGTAGTAGGTTTACGTTAGTACACATTGATAAAGCAATTGGTTATTTAACTTGATTTTCCAAACCATTTCAGATTATTTATTAGTGACTACAAACTTATCATATTTTTTTATTTTTTATTCTGTTAGCTTACAAATTCAAATTAAAAATACTTTCAAAAACCCGTCCTGTTGCCGTACCATGCCAGTAAATATATAACCAAATGTGTTAATTATCGTTATTTAATTACTCAAGTACACATATATTATTTTTCGATCAAAAACACCGTCAGACGAAATTATATTCCCAGATAGCATTAGGATTAGACAGGCACATACGTATTTATATATTGACATCGTCGATTTGACTAATCTTTGACCGTTTTGTATTACGTGACTGACGTGATATATAAAATAAATATTTTTAATTTAAGATTTTTCGATAAATTCATAATTATTTACAAGTAATTCTACTCTATACCGCTTTATATTCATCGTTTATACAGATTAAATAACTAAATAACACTAGATATATTTTCATACTGTCAAACAGACTATTCCTAGCTAATTAAAACATAATATTGAGACGCAGATATATGAGTTTTTACATTGCTGACCAGCTAAATTAATTTTTAGTTTTGTTTTGTTTCGACTCCCTCAGAAATCTCTATAAAGATTTTTTTTATGTAATAGGAAGCAAACGGGCAGGAGGCTCATCTGATGTTAATTATTGATACCGCCCATGAACACTCCCATTGCTAGAAGGCTCGCGAGTGCGTTGCCGGCCTTTCAAGAATTGGTACGCTCTTTTCTTGAAGGAATATTTTTATTTCGGATATTATACGGATATTATTATTTCATATATATATATATAGCTAGCTTGCGAAGATGCAATTGAAATTTGGTTTAAACGTTTTTACTTTTTGCGGACTTCGTTTATTTCCATTATTACCATTAGAAGGTTTGATATAAAACAATTTGACTAATCGATTGCGAATAATTTCTATGTCAGGCATAATCGATCAATCAATCAAATTTATCCAATAACTAATCTTTGTATGCCATTCGTTTGTAATATTTGGCCCTTTTCGATATAATTTAGAATTTCGGTTACCCTTAAAGTAAAGTTTGTGATTGATGAGTTTATCACTTAAATTGTCCAGTATAATTGGGATAAAGAAAAGATTACATGAACCAAATATTGCATTATCAACAAAGAGATATAACGAATATTTCCAGAAACAGATGCCTGTTGTTGTAATAAAAGTAATTTAAACTTTTTTTTTAATTAAATACAAAAATTTCAAAGATCCAGATTTTTTTACAAATTGCTATAACTCTAATCTTTTAATCAGTAATAGTTAAATACTTCAAAAAGCCTGGATATATGTAGTATATATATATATCGACGCGTCGCCATGCTAACATGGTCAGGTCATTTGCGACACCATATGACTTCAAGTGTGAGTTTTTGTGTTTTCAAACTGAATAAGTTTGTGTAAATAATAGTATAGAGTAGGTATTATGTAACCAAAGAGAACATGTTCGAAAGCCGGACTTTTAATATCTATTAATGTTAGGAGGGTTTGATTTTGAAAAGATTTTAAGGAATTTGTAGTTTGATCGAGAGTAATTAGACCACATTGAAATCCAACTGTAATAATTGATAACAACCATAATGCCCAGTGGTGTGTGCTGATAGTTCACAGTTGACTGCGCTGATGTTGACCGCACAATTCAACACATTTTGATGAATTCATGTGTAGATATCATTGCAATTACTCATGGTTTATGTGTTTTAGTGTCTATGAAAAATATTAAAATTTAATATATCTTTTTCATATTTTCAACTCAGCCTCCCTCTCTTGCGGCCCTTCTGGGCCGGGCTCATTTTACACAAGGAGAAGAGATGTCCTTTTATATATAATTATATTAGTAGAAACTAATAGGGGCATATCTCCCAGAAGAATCTGATCTGAAGAGTGT